CTCTGAGGAATGCCATATGGTGGGATACATTTTCGTTCAAATCCGATGTCAACTTCTTGTTTGTCTGTGCGTCTGTCCATTTCATACATAACAAATTTTTGTCGCAGTTTTCTCAGCAACTACTCATCAAAGATGCTTGAAATTTAAACACAATCTTCTCTGAGGCATGCAATATGGTGGGATATATTTTCGCTAATCTCGGATATCAATATCCTGTTTGCCTGTGCATCTGTCTGTTTCATACATTACAAATCTTTGTCGCAGTTTTCTCATTAGCTATTTATAGCGGATGCTTGAAATTTTATAACACTCTTTGTTGAGGCATGCCATATGTTGGGATTTATTTTGATATGAATCTGATGTCAACTTCATATTTTTCTGTGCATCTCCCTGTAATTGAACTTGTGTATTTTAACATGATAGTGCTTATTTACATCAGAGCGGGGGTATTACTAGTGAGCATTGGCTCACAGATTTCTTGTTTGCAATAATTGGAAAATTTAAGGTACATTAAATAAAAAGAAGTGCAGTTTATGTACTTTGAACCTATAAAATTAATGTGAGGGTGGAATCACCTTAACATGGCAAACAAGTTGACTACACTAAGATACATAATTGTATGTATCAATTTTTGATTTCTGAATCAATCAATATACGGTGTTGTCATGCTTACTACAATGTGAAAATGAAGATTTCTGAGATTGAAGAACTTTCAAATTACTGCTCCAACAATTTTGATCTGATTACAATAAATCTTGCATTTGGCAAAAAAGAAGGCTACACTACAATTTAAGATACATAATGCTATGTGTTGGTTTGTGATTTAAATGACAGGTGTTGCCATGGTTACTATCAATAGAAATTTCTTTGAAGCATTTTCAAAATGCTACTCCTACAGTTTTAATCAAATTTCAATAAATCTTACCAAGGAAAAGACTAAACCTGGTCCAGTGATCATTTTAAAAAAGTTATTGCTATTGCAAGTTTCAAGATCAAATGCTCCATTCATCTTCCTTCATTATAAGTGTAAACAAGTAGAGCTACAGTCTGGTCAGACTCTTCTGGGTTATATTTATTTTCTATTTTTTTAAGAAAAAAAATTTTAATGTCCATTGCATTGCACGGGTCCTGGAATAGATATGGTAGTTTCTTTCGTATAACAGATGTCATAATCTCTTTTTAGCTCACCTGAGCCGAAGACTCAAGTGAGCTTTTCTGATCAAAATTTGTCCGTCGTCTGTCGTTGTTGTCGTTGGCGTTGTCGTTGTCGTAAACTTTTTACATTTTTATCTTCCTCTCAAGAACTACTGGGCCAATTTCAACCAAACTTGCCACAATGAATCCTCAGGTGAAGGGGATTCACGTTTGTTCAAATAAAGGGCCATGCCACGATTCAAGGGGAGATAATTCAGAAATAGTGAAAGTTTGGTGGTATGTTATAGGAGGAGGAGAGGGGGGTATACTGTTTTACCCTTGTGTGTCTGTCCGTCTGTCCGTCCGTCTGTCTGTCTGTCCGTCTGTCTGTCTGTCTGTCTGTCTGTCTGTGTGTCCGTCCGAAACAAATTTCCGTCGCAGTTTTCTCAGCAACTACTCATCGTAGATGCTTGAAATTTTAACACAATCTTCTCTGATGCATGCCATATGGTGGGATACATTTTTGTTCAAATCCGATGTCAACTTCCAGTTTGTCTGTGCGTCTGTACATTTCATACATAACAAATTTTTGTCGCAGTTTTCTCAGCAACTACTCATCGTAGATGCTTGAAATTTTAACACAATCTTCTCTAAGGCATACCATATGGTGGGATACATTTTCGTTTAAATCCGATGTCAACTTCCTGTTTGTCTGTGCGTCTGTCCATTTCATACATAACAAATTTTCGTCGCAGTTTTCTCAGCAACTACTCATCGTAGATGCTTGAAATTTTAACACAATCTTCTCTGAGACATGCCATATTGTGGGATACATTTTCGTTCAAATCCGATGTCAACTTCCTGTTTGTCTGTGCATCTGTCCATTTCATACATAACAAATTTTTGTCGCAGTTTTCTCAGCAACTACTCATCATAGATGCTTGAAATTTTAACTCAATCTTCTCTGAGGAATGCCATATGGTGGGATACATTTTCGTTCAAATCCGATGTCAACTTCTTGTTTGTCTGTGCGTCTGTCCATTTCATACATAACAAATTTTTGTCGCAGTTTTCTCAGCAACTACTCATCAAAGATGCTTGAAATTTAAACACAATCTTCTCTGAGGCATGCAATATGGTGGGATATATTTTCGCTAATCTCGGATATCAATATCCTGTTTGCCTGTGCATCTGTCTGTTTCATACATTACAAATCTTTGTCGCAGTTTTCTCATTAGCTATTTATAGCGGATGCTTGAAATTTTATTACACTCTTTGTTGAGGCATGTCATATGGTTGTATTTATTTTGATATGAATCTGATGTCAACTTCATATTTTTCTGTGCATCTGCCTGTAATTGAACTTGTGTATTTTAACATGATAGTGCTTATTTACATCAGAGCGGGGGTATTACTAGTGAGCATTGGCTCACAGATTTCTTGTTTGCAATAATTGGAAAATTTAAGGTACATTAAATAAAAAGAAGTGCAGTTTATGTACTTTGAACCTATAAAATTAATGTGAGGGTGGAATCACCTTAACATGGCAAACAAGTTGACTACACTAAGATACATAATTGTATGTATCAATTTTTGATTTCTGAATCAATCAATATACGGTGTTGTCATGCTTACTACAATGTGAAAATGAAGATTTCTGAGATTGAAGAACTTTAAAATTACTGCTCCAACAATTTTGATCTGATTACAATAAATCTTGCATTTGGCAAAAAAGAAGGCTACACTACAATTTAAGATACATAATGCTATTTGTTGGTTTGTGATTTAAATGACAGGTGTTGCCATGGTTACTATCAATAGAAATTTCTTTGAAGCATTTTCAAAATGCTACTCCTACAGTTTTAATCAAATTTCAATAAATCTTACCAAGGAAAAGACTAAACCTGGTCCAGTGATCATTTTAAAAAAGTTATTGCTATTGCAAGTTTCAAGATCAAATGCTCCATTCATCTTCCTTCATTATAAGTGTAAACAAGTAGAGCTACAGTCTGGTCAGACTCTTCTGGGTTATATTTATTTTCTATTTTTTGAGAAAAAAAATTTTAATGTCCATTGCATTGCACGGGTCCTGGAACAGATATGGTAGTTTCTTTCGTATAACAGATGTCATAATCTCTTTTTAGCTCACCTGAGCCGAAGACTCAAGTGAGCTTTTCTGATCAAAATTTGTCCGTCGTCTGTCGTTGTTGTCGTTGTCGTAAACTTTTTACATTTTTATCTTCCTCTCAAGAACTACTGGGCCAATTTCAACCAAACTTGCCACAATGAATCCTCAGGTGAAGGGGATTCACGTTTGTTCAAATAAAGGGCCATGCCACGATTCAAGGGGAGATAATTCAGAAATAGTGAAAGTTTGGTGGTATGTTATAAAAATCTTCTTCTCAAGAACCACTGTGCCAGGAAAATTGAAACTTAAAGAGAAGCATACTCAGGTAGTGTAGATTCAAGTTTGTTCAAATCATGACCCCTGGGGGTAGGGCGAGGCCAAAATGGCTGATCAAAGTTTAACATAGAAATGTATAGGAAAATTCTTTAAAAATCTTCTTCTAAAGAATAGCAAAGGCATGAATGATCATATTTATCTGGAAGCATCCTCAGGTAGTGTAGATTCGAGTTTATTCAAATCATGACCCCGCAGGGGAAGGGCGGGCCATAATGGCCGATCAAAGTTTTACATAGCAATGTATACGAGGGTTGTTCGAAAAGTTCGTGGACGATGTCCATCTTCGTTATATTACTCACTGGAAATTCAAAACAAGCACATTATATTAATTTTATGTAAAAATATTTGTTTTGTTGGTGTGTGAAGTTTCATTCCATTCGATTTAACACAAATAAGTTTACTTCATTTTAAAATCAACGTTTTGTACCCGCGGAGCACACAAAACGGCACTGTAACGTCAACACATAGCGTCGAGAATTTATAATAGATACTATACCTATACATTTCACACAGAATATTCCAATGCCCATTCATTAAATTCTTTTTCTAATACTTGACATTTATTTTTGTAAGAATTGATCTCATTGTATAATTTTCTTTGTTAAGGTTTTAATTTCTTTTAGTACTTAACTCTGCTTTCACAGGATAATCAACTCTGAAGCGCCTTTGTCTTTCATTTACGTTTCAAATTTTAAAGTTTTATTCAGATGTTTATAGTAAAACCGTTTCTTCACAGGTCATGCATCCTCATCCTATACAGAGTCTCTGTCACTTAAATAGTGCCTGTACTATTTGTACACACATGCACAACTCGCTTGTGACATATTTTCTTGATTCCTTCAACATTTTTAGAGTTTATTCAGGATTTTTCCTGAGAAAAACACAAAATTGCTTCGGTATCTGCTGCTCCATGACGTTCTAAAACGTCATTGTTTTTGTTATTTTCAATAAGTACTACTTATCTTCTCAAGTTGATTTCTTTTCAACAAAGCAAAATATAAAACCATAATTTGGTACACGTATCGATGTAACAATTCTTAATTTGAATTTCTAGGTAGTTTTTCGTTTTTCCTACATTTTACAGAGAATATGACTATAGACATTATTTATTGTATTTTCTGTAACTGACTAAATTTTGACCTGCTCCACGATCCGATTTTTGCATTTTTAAAATCTGGATAAATTTTTAATCAATCGTAATATTTTGTCAAAATTAACACATATCATTTGGATTTATTATTCAAATATTTCTACTAAATTTGGATAACATGACGTCAAATAAAAAAGATATGACAGTTGTCCATGAACTTTTCGAACAACCCTCGTTTATATAATGTTATAAATTACAGTGACTGTCTTTTATTATATAATGCATATTTTCACCAGTTATTTTTTTTTGTAGTTGGAGAAAATTGGAATTTTTTGCTGGTGATTTATTTGAAAATTTCTGCTGTATGTGCATCCCAACACACTATGGTTAGTTTTGATGTTTAGATCATTTAATTTATATTTATATGTATGTATATGTATATGTATGTTGAAAGATTGTCCACTAATTCATTTATGCTTTGAATCTAGGGAAGGCAATCATGCATTTATAGTCAAAACGCATTACTCCCTTGGTGTTACTTGTAACATATACTCAATTTGAAGCTTTTTCTAAAGGAAAAATTGTCTCATTGTCTACACTTAAATTAAATCATAATTTAAGGAATGAAGCTAATTTCAACTTATGTAATACGATATAATATACTTGGGGTAGTTTACACATTTTTATAAACCACTTAACAGTTAATAAAACGTAAATTGTGATTTGTCCCAAGTTATTTTATATCATTTAACGTAAATTGAAAAAATTTTCATTCCTTGAAGAAAGCATTGGATTTAGCAACATAAACCTGATTATATAAAGAAAATATATATTTTTAACAAAAAAAAAATAAAGATTTATTTAGTAATTCAATTAGGACAGTGTTAAATTTGCATTGATTTGAATATATGATAAAATACTTAAACTGATTTAGAATTCTTATTTTTATTATTTATTTTTTTTTGGACAGGAATTTTCTCCGGTATCACATTACGTTATGTTAAATCCGTGTGACATGTGCCCACAAGTTCCAAAATTGAATTGTGCTCAAAAGGAAAAGGAAGTGTGTATATTAAACTATGACAGAAAGAACTTGGTATTGGCATGCGTATCAAACCTCTTGCTCTATGGTAAAACTTGATGCATATTTGATATCATGATTAAACTATGGACTTTCCATCTTTCAGTTTGCATGTTAACATTTGGTGAAAGAACATTTCTGTTAGCTACACCATGAATTTAGCATTTGTTCACTGTATGCTCATTATTTACATTGTTGTATTCATTGTTCACCAACCACTTGCATTATAAGCGTCACACAGTGTTCAGCTTTTGCTTTTCTGATCAAGATTTGGGCCAATTTCAACCAAACTTGCCAGAAAGTATCCTTAGGTGAAGGGGATTCAAGTTTATTCAAATAAAGGGCTAAACCCTCTTCCAAGGAAAGATAATTATGAATTGATAAAAAATTAATGGCATATTTAAAAAATCTTCTTATCAAGAACCATTAGGCCAGTAATGTGAAACTCATGTGGAAGCATCCTCAGGTAGTGTACAATCAAGTTTGTTTAAATCATGACCACCGGAGGTTGGGTGGGGCCACAATGGCCAGTCAAAGTTTACATAGGAGTATATAGGGAAAAATCTTTAAAAATATTTTTATCAAGAAGCACTGTGCCAGGAAAGATGAAACTCACATGGAAGCATCCTCAGGTAGTGTAGAATCAAGTTTGTTCAAATCATGACCCCCGGTGGTAGGGTGGGGCCACATAGGAATACTTAGGAAAAATCTTTAAAAATCTTTTCAAGAACCACAGGGCCAGGAAAGTTTAAACTCATGTGGAAGCATCCTCATGTGTAGAAGATTCAAGGTTGTATTCATGTCGTGTAGATTCAAGTTTCTTCAAATCATGACCCTCAGGGGTACTGTGGAGCCACAATGGGGTACATTTTTCAAAGCTTAACATAGGAATACTTAGGAAAAATATTTAAAAGTCTTCTTCTCAAGAAGCACTGGGCCAGGAAAGCTGAAACTCATGTGAAAGCATCCTCATATAGTGTAAATTCAAGTTTGTTCAAGGCATGGCCCCCCAGTGGTAGGTAGGGCCACAGTGGGATATCAAGGTTTAACATAGTAATACATAGGAAAAATATTTTAACATCTTCTCAAGAAGCACTTGGCCAGGAAAGAAGAAACTGATGTGTAAAGATCCTCTGGTAGTGAAAATTCACATTTGTTTAAATCATGACCCCAAAGGGTATAGGGTGGGGCCACAATTAGGTATCAAAGTTTAACATAAGAATACATAGGAAAAATTGTTTAGAATCTTCTTCTCAAGAAGCACTGGGCCAGGAAAGAAGAAACTGATGTGTAAACATCCTCTGGTAGTGAAGATTCAAGTTCGTTCAAATCATGTCCCCCAGGGGGTAGGGTCGGGCCACATTGGGGTATTACAGTTTAGCATGGGAATACATGAAAAAAATCTTTTTCTCAAAAACAGAAAACTGATGTTTGGTCATAATTAAATGGAAGCATCCTCTGTTAATATTGATTTATGCTTGTGGAAATCATGACCCCAAGGGTAGAATTAGGGCACCTTGGGAGGTCAAAATTTTGAAAAGGAATAGATGGAAAAATCTTAATAAATCTCCTTAGGTACAGTCATTGTTGGTCATAGATATATGGAAGCATCCTCTGGTAGAGTAGATTTAAGTTTTTTTAAATCATGACCCCGGGTTAAGAGTGAGGCCATAATGGCTGATCAAAGTAGAATTGCATGGGAAAAAAAATATTTGGGACACAATGAGTAGATTTGTGTATAACGAGGGAATTCCGATTCCTTTATTTTTTTCCGGGAATTTCAGCACTTTTCAACTTAGCTTTTTGGCCATATCTTGAATATAGAGATGAACAGTTTGTTAGCGCAACTCCTCATAAACTGCTTCAAAGAATTTCGTCAAAATTTGCAGTCATTTAGGACAGAATAAGTAGATGTGCATATAACAAGGAAATTATGATTCCTTTATTTTGGGGGGGAATTTCCGCACTTTTCAACTTAGAATTTTGGCAATACCTTTTATATAGAGATAAATAGTTTTTCAGCACAACTCCTCATAAAATGTTGCACAGAATTTCGTCAAACTTTGCAAACATGTAGGACACAAAATGTAGATGTGCATATAACCAGGAATTATGACTCCTTTATTTTTTTTTAGGAATTTTTGTGCTTTTCAACTTAGATATTTGACCATATCTTGAATATAGAGATGAACAGTTTGTCAGCGTAACTCCTCACAAACTGCTGCACAGAAATTTGTCAAACCTCTCAGACATTTAGGGCACAATTTATAAATGTTACAATAAATTTTTTAGGGAATTTCTACACTTTTCACCTTAAATTTTTAGCCTAATCTTGAATGTAGATATGAACAGTTTGTCAGCGCAACTCCTTATAAACCACTGCACAGAATTTTCAAATTGTCAAATTTTGCAGACATTTAAGACACAATCTGATTTCTTTATTTTTTTCAAGGAATTTTAGAACCTTGAGTGTTTGGGAGCATGGAGTTTGTGAGCTTGCTCACTTTTGCTTTCATACAAATTGTGACAATTGGGAAAAATAGTAGCCATTGGAGTGGATAATAAGAAAGGAATATAAGGGATTTATCAATAATAATTTTCATCTTATAAACTTCAAAGCCATTATGTGTCATATCAATTAAAATTATCCCTAGAAAGTGTAGATTTAAGTTTGTTAAAATTTGAAGCCCCCTTCCTCCCCTGAACCAAATTTTGTATTTTTGAATTAAAACTTTTCAATACTGAACTGATTTTTGCTTTTTACCTAGAAAGTTGCTAACTTGAGCGATGTGGCCCCTGGGCCTCTTGTTTTGTCTGTCCTTATGCAATGTTTGCTGTTTGTTGGTCTTTAAAAAGCCTTTTAGGTCAGGTGACCTATTGCTAATCATTTTCGTCCATTGTTGTGTGTCATGCATTATGTGTTGTGTTGACATTTGAACATTTTCTCCTTCTTCTCTGAAACCACTGACCCGATTTTAACCAAATTTGGTATACAGCATTTATTGATTGTGAATTTCATGGTCCCTGCCCCCTAGGGGTGGGGCCAAAACCACTAAAATTAATGCAATCTTTATAAATCTTCTTCGTTACTCCTGGACATCAAGCAGTCAAACTGTTGGAATGAATGTAATTAACATTGATTCCTCTTCTTAAATTCTGAAATTTATGGCCCCAGGGTCAGGGGTTCTAGTGCTTGGGTGGGGCTAAATAGATTATATAGTAAAAATGCATTATTTCTTTAAAAATCTTCTTCACTGTTCCTGGGTATTAAATAAACTAACTAAGTACATACTTTTAGTTATGATGAGCAAGAGTGCCTCTTCCTACATTGTGAATTTTATGGCCCAAGGGTTGAGGTGTTGGAAATTTTTATCATAAATCTTATTTGATCATAAATGGTTGATTAATACCAAAGATCATATTTCAAAGCATTAATTTATTTTCAGACTATTTAATCCCCTCCCCACTCAATACCCCTGACCCAGGGGACATGCAATTAACCATTTTGCTAGATGCACCTTTCTTCCTCATAAATATATATATATATATATATATATATATACTTAGATCATTGGCATAATACCAATTAAGAAAGGAAAAGATTTTCAAAGAATTAATATATTTTTACTGTAGAATCCAAAGAGCCTCTCCCCCTACACCAAGTGACAAAACGCCAACCCAGGGGCCATAAAATTTACAAATTTGGCTGAGGCAATTTTGCTCATTATAATTATATACTAAGTATGTTTATTTCATACCCTGTGCAGAAAAGAAAATTTTCAAAGAATAAATATATTTTCATTAATAATAATCAATAGCGCCCCACCCTAACACCAGTTTTGAAATTTGTGGCCCAAAGGTCAGCGGTTCCTGTGGGGTGGGGTACACACACAACTGGTTATAAAGTTGAAATGCATTTTCTCTCAGCTACTCTGATCAGAGTAAACATGCTTAGTGAATAAATATGATAAGCAATCTTGCCTCTTTCAAAATTGTTAATTTCATGGCCTCTGGTGGTGTAAAAAGGAACCAAATTCCATTGTTTGAGAGTTGTTACATGATACTCAGGTGACCTATAAGTTTCTTTAAAACTGCTCAAGCAAATTTCAGCAACTTTAGTAAATAGCATCTTTCAGAAAAAGGGGGAAGAAGGATTTGGAGATAACGAACAATATTCAATCAATTCAAGGGACAAAAACTGCATAAAAGTCGAATTTCTAATCCCATTATCAGTTTATAGTGACATCTCTATGTGAGAGAAAAATTCTCTAATGGGACCTAAACAGCATACAGTCAATCAATTAATCATTAACATGAGAAATACTTCACAAACACAGTGTCAACTTTGATAGGGATGGAATTGACAATAAGTTTAAGTGAGCTTTTCTGATCAACCATTGCTCTCTAACCTTCAGTCTGACTCTATGCAGCTGCATGTCCTTGAATGTTTCTATAGAATTCAAATTCATGAGTTATTTATCATTAATTATTGTCTTTTTGAATTTTTATATAGAAGCCTGTCCATATTTTACAAATTCCACGAAAAATGGAATTAACTACACAGCGGCTGTTTTTCAAGATGTAAATTCAAGGTGCACGAATTGCTCTTCCTATGAATTGTGGGATGTACATAATAGTAAGTTTTACGTTCGACAATGTCAGAAAACACACACCTCGATCAGAATGTCTGTTTTCTTTTTCCTCATTACATAATTATCATTTTAAATTGAAAAATTACATGAAATAATTATTATCAATTTGTTATTTCTAAACTGTTTTCACAATGTCTTAAAAAAGAAATACATAAAAATGACTATATTCGCTTAATATGATCAATCCCCCCCCCCCCCAATTAAACTTTCAAACTCGATGGAGAAATCTAATATAGTTGCATTATTAATCAAGGGGATATATGGATTGCATACTTCAAAGCATTAAACATTATTATCAGCAATGATGCTATATTTAGATATGATGACCAGAGAACGATGTAAATTAAAAATTGTCATTATTAATACATGTACTAGTGAAAAATGTGTATACTATAAGTTCTTTTTATTCACAAGAACTTTATTTTCACATAATTACCCAAAAGACTTTCTATGTCATATTGAGTGTAGAGTCATCATCAGTAGAAACATTTGTAGTTACATGTATTATATTGATTCATAATATTCTGACCGAATTTTCAGAGATACAGTGTCAAAAATTGGATTACTCTGATGCTGCTAAAAATTGTTCAAAAGACATTAATACAAGATCAGACGGGTAAGAACTGCATTATTTTGTCATTCATATGTCATAGTAGTGTGTTTTATCTATATGCAGCACTAATAAGGCTTCCCAAAACTTTTTAATGTGTTCAAAACAATTCACACTGCATTTCAAGGTCGCGATTTTGAGTTTTATATCTGGGAAGCCTTATAAATGTTCCTGCAATATACATGTATATTTATATAAATTATGCAGTTTGCGTCAAATGATTACCTACTCAATATAAATATAATAGGGTATTTTATAAATTTTTAATTAATTATTAGGTCTCTAATCAGTTAAAAGCCTTTCTCTGTCCCACCTGGTTTTCTACTGTTACAGTTTTAGTTCACCTGAACCAAAGTGAGCTTTTCTGATTACATTTTGTCCGGCGTCCGTCCATCCCTCTGTATATTTAATAACATTTTTGACTTCTTCTCGAGAACCACTGGGCCAATTTTAACCATACTTGGTACTAAGCATACTGAATTGAAGTTTTAATAGCTAAAATGAAGGGCCAAGTCCCCTCACAAGGGGAGATAATCAAGAAAAGACAAAAATAGGATGTGGTCATAAAAATCTTAAATTGTTCTCAAAAACCACTGGGACAGAAAAACTAAAACTTATGTGAAAGCATTCTGGGAAAGTGACAAGTGTAAAATTTAAATTGTTCAAATCGTTCAAAGGGGGGGGGGGATAGGGTGGGGCCACATTTTGGAATTCAAGTTTTACATCAAACTAAATAGGAAAAATCTTTAATTCTTCTGTTCAATAACTACTAGGCAAAAATAGCTGAAACATGTAAAAGCATCCTTAGTTAGTGTACGTTCTCAATTGTTCAAATCATGATTGACCCCTAGGGGTAAGTTTTACATTGAATTATCTTTTAAAAAATCTGCTTCCTAGGAAGTACTGGGCAATAAAAGCTGAAACTTATGTGATAGAGTCTGGAGAAAGTTAAATTTAAAATTGTCCAAATTATGACCCGCGGGGTAGGGTGGGGTCATATAAGGTATTACTGTGGGGAAATTTGGTAAAGAACAGCATGGTCAATGATACACAGGTGAGCGATGTGGCCTATGGGCCTATTGTTTCTTATGGCCTTGCAATATTGATCTGATTTTTGGTATGTTATTTAACCTTGATGAGCTGTAGATTTGGTCTGCATTTCATTCTGCTATATGCTTTGAGGTTGAATTTTGGCATTTCAATTGGAACAACATAACCAGGGTTTGTTAAAAAGTTTGGGGACAGATTCGATAAAATCGGTACAATCTATGTATTCAATGATAACAAAATTTATGGCAAATAAAACAACAAAAGTTTACGAAGTGTTAAAAATTTCAGCTTGATACATTACATGTATTAATTAACCATAGTATCATTAAAGAAAAGAAACATTTTTAAGAAAACAATCTAATTTAAATTAGATGTTAGATCCACTTGCATACTTGCTACACTAACATCGATCTAACAACATCCCATAGACAGTCACATCAGAGGCCAAATTCAGAACAACTCTAGACTTATTGGCTTCAACAAATATAAAGTGACAATTTGATAGGTTGACCTCTGACGTGACCATCTGTGGGATATTGTAAGATGTAAGTGTGACGAGAATGCAAGCATATCTAACATTTTTGATTGAAGATCACGCTGCATTGTTGCTGTTTTGTTATGACAATGTAATTTTTTATCAATGTCAGCTCCCTCTGCCTCAATTTGAAAACAACTAGTGTTAATTGTATATTTCCTCTCAGGCTATTTTGACAACTTTGGTACCTGTGCCTTGTAAATTTTATATACTTTGTAAATAAATATATAAAGGTATTTGACTGGAACTATTCATTTTTTCCAACGCATAGGAGGCTACTTTCTGGGGTTTACAAGATATGTTTATAAAGACATTTGTGTCAGCTAATGTGACTAATATTAATATATTGTTTAACACCGTCTTATTAATATTTTTTTCATGAATGCAAAAACCTGATTTTTTTTTACAAAAGAGCGTACATATATATTGATTTTTAATATACCGAAAATAGCTATTTCTGGGGATTGCGTAATTCTCAAAAACATTCAAATAGATTTCAAAGGTAAAATAAACAAAGGATGCTTGGTATTAAATTATTATTTCAAATCAGTGGAATTGAATGCTATTAACGACATCTGAATAAATAGGCTATAAAAGGCTTATATACCAACTTTGTTCATCTGCACTTTAATTTCAAACACAACAGAATTTGAGTTTATGTCAGTTTATCCAGGGGCTGAAACTTTATAGAATGTTTGAAAATGACACCCTCATCTGTTATTCTCTTTTTTCATGTACATCATTTTAACCCTATAGGTGATTGGGTAATCCAAATAAAATTTAGGATAAATCTTCATAGAACTTACAGAATGAGGTAAAAATTACAACTTTTAGGAAGCAATTTTGTCACATCACTTGAGTGATTTAAGGAAATTTTCAGATGACAAATGTTAATATCAAAAAAGTTTTTAAGGTATCACTGTTTAGTTAGTAGAGAATGCCAGGGCATCAATGATAGTTAGAAACATGGGATAACTTGGTTGAAGGACTAAGTCAAACACAAAGACAGATGCACAAGACTTTAGATTACATGAAAAATCAGATATTATGACTACTTACATGTACCTCCAGATCTATTGCTTGACAACTTTTACATTTGGATAGAATGATTAAGAAATCAACTCTACTAATGTTCAGAAATTTATCACAGAGAAAACGAAAGGCAATGGAAATAATCTTAGTTTAATTCAGGAAGAATATAGCAGTAATTTTGGGTTGTGCTGTTATTTGACTGTTGATTATGCTTATTTCAATTCATTATTTTACCTTAAACAGTTTAGATTTTATAGCGCTAGTCCACAAACTTTTTAATAACCTCTTGAAATTGATATTAGTGACAGTCAGAAAATTTTCACTGATTTACCTACAAATAAATTTCTTTTTTAAAAACAAAATGTCCTTTACAGCAGTTAGATGACCTTTAAGTCCCCTTGTCTTGTGAAGTAATACATGTATGTATTGATAAGCATTTTTTGTACAAAAACATGCTTCTTCTTTTTTTTCAAGGACGCCTGATATAGGAATGATTTTTGTAGTGTGTGCTGTGGTGTTAGTAGTGATTGTACTACTAGTCGGCACTGTTCTCTGTATACGGAATACCAGGAGAGGACAACAGTATATTGTGAGTTTACGTAATGCATACCCGTATTGTGATTTATTATGCCCCCTTTTGAAGAAGGGAGGGCATATTGCTTTGCTGTTGTCTGTCATTCCATCATCAGTTACTGTTTCCATTCATTTTCTTTGCAGAGGATGCACATATTGAAATGAAATTTGGTATAGAGATAAATCATGAGAATCTCTAGGCCAAGTTCTTCTTTGGGTAGGCGGACCATTTCGGGAAGAGTTATGTCCCTTTGATGTAGAAAACTCCAATTATTTGGAGGATGGGCCAAAAGTGTTTTACAAACTTCTTTTGTTACCTTATTATGTCAAATTGTTGATACAATGTAGTGCCCTGTCTAATTAAAAAGTAATCTTTCATTATCTTTAGTGTGAAGTGCCATACATTTTGACTAAGACCTTCCAATTTTTATGCCCCGCCATGAATATGGCCATGGCATATAGTGTTTGTCATTCCTTCTTCCGTCCTTCCGTCCCTCTGTCCTTCCGTCACACTTTGTGTTTAGCTCTGTTCAAAGCTAAGTTTCAAAGAAACTATCCAAGATGTTTTCATCAAACTTCATATGCTGATAGATATTGATGAGCGCTATGCAACTGCATCAACATTTTTTGACTTTGACCTTTCCTCTGACCTTGACCTCACTTTTCTTAAATTAGTGTTTAGCTCAATTTTCAAAATACCATTCAGGATGGTGTTATCAAACTTCACATGTTGATACAAACTTGCACGGATGATGCATCTCGGGATGAACACTACCAGACTTGCTTCAGATGCTGGATCTGACCTACATTTTCCAGATGAATGACGAGATTCAAGTTTTTGGAGCAGGTCCATTCTTAAAGAACTATAAGCCCTACTTGGACCAACTTGCATGGATGATGCATTTAGAAATGGACACTACCAGACTTGCTTTGGGTGCTGGATCTGACCTACATTTTCATTCCCAAGTAACTATAAGCCCTACTTGAACCAAACTTGCATGGATGATGCATCTAGGGATGGACACTACCAGACTTGCTTCGGATGCTGGATCTGACCTATATTTTCATTCTCAAATAACTATAAGCCCTACCTGAAACAAACTTGGAGGGATGATGCATCTAGGGATGGACACTACCAGACTTGCTTTGGGTGCTGGATCTGACCTATATTTTTATTCTCTAGTAACTATAAGCCCTACCTGAACCAAACTTGCATGGATGATGCATCTAGGGATTGACACAACCAGACTTGCTTTGGATGCTGAATCTGACCTACATTTTCATTCCTAAGTAACTATAAGCCCTACCTGAACCAAACTTGCATGGATTATGCATCTAGGGATGGACACTACCAGACTTGCTTTGGATGCTGAATCTGACGTATATTTTCCAAACAAGCAATTCAGCTGTATCACTATTCAAGATATACTGATCAAATTTTATACACATACAAATTTTCATGTTTCTTTGATAATGAATATATCCTTGGCGGGGCATTCATGTCCTATGGACATATTTCTAGTTTTTTGTTGGTTCTTGCTTTGACTTAATTTAATTCTTTTACCAAGTGCCAGGCAATAGAAGTGAATGTCACATATTTTTTGAATGAAACCTTCTAAATACTAAAAGTCCTTCTTCATGGTAGGCATTAAAAAGTATGGGGACTCCATTCCATTGATTACTTAATCAAACTAACAATAAGCATTTTTCAGTTACATGTATCAATATTATAAATATGCAAATATACATGTAGAGCAAATATTATATAATTTATAAATAAAGTAATAGTCTACATATCAGTGTGAGCAGATAATGATTCAGCACCTTGGTTCAAATCAATTTCATTTTACAATCAGGATATTATGTCTCTGTCTATAGATGTGTCAATTACAGAGTTCTTGAAGGTTAAAATCAGTATCATTTTGATACTGGAATCTCAGCAATAACATTTAACAAATCATTTATTAAAATATTACCGGTATGACAGTCACTGTAATCTTTCTATATTTAGGGAAAGCAGTATTTAAGCAATATAAGCTGCATGTATGAAAAATTAATTTTGCTTTTAAAAAGGGTTATGATAAATTTGTATGTTATTTAAACTTTTATGATGAATAAGACCAAAAGAAAGCAGAAGAATGACTTTTAAATATAATTCAAATATACAGTTTTATATAAGAGATCATAATTGTACAGGATGCCAATTATGTAATATTGATTCAGTTGAAGCTTATAAATAGTTCTTCCATCCCAAATATGAAAAACAGAAGTTTATTAAGTACATCATTTTTTTCTGACGAACTCTGATATAACGAATTTACGGATATAGCGAACTGATTTTGAGTCCCGTTAAAGTTAAATATAATGAAATTTACATCGCTTATAACAAACTTTCAAAGATCTCAAAATTTGATAAATTGAACAGACTTATTTTTGTTCATGGAATTTTTTATATAATCCAATTCACAATAAAACCTTAGTTATCGAAGGTATGTTTTGTAATATTTGCTTCACTAACATATTTGGTAGTAATACTTGAAGGAAAACATGCATAATACGAATTTGCTTTATATGGTTTTACGAAATCGTTTTACGGATATAACGAATTACAGATATAGCGAAATCAATTAAATTCACAGGTCCCTAGGACTTCGCTATAACCGAGTTTTACTGTAATTTTTCTTTAACAAATAAGCATAGTCTTGTAGTTTTGATATATTTTGCATATTTTGAAAAAAAAATTTTTTATTGATATACCTTGTACAGATGACATTTGAAAAGAAGCTGCTTTCAGCTAAAGGTGCTAAATAAAATACACAATCTAAGTACACACATAACAGTATCCCTTCCTCTAAGTACAAATGACTGAATAATTTAAATCATTGTATGATTTATTATTATTGTTTACCCTAATCCTGGTTATAGAGCTGAAGAGAGGGTTAATTTGTTTTAGAGCATTTAAATCAGCTGAGACAAGATAGACTCTGAAATAATGACAATGTTTGAAAAAGCTTTGAAAAAACATACATAATATATTATCTATATATCTATAAAACATACATGTTTAAATATACATATTTAAGGAATGAATTAAATAGCAACTGAAGTTTTATGTACAGTATACTGTGTAACCTGGGTTTGGGCAGTTTATACTTTATAAACTGCTTTAAAAAAGCATAAATTGGTCCAACCAAAGTTATAGCATTTTGAAATTGGTTGCTATTTAATTCTTCCATAATAATTTAATTTTTAATCATTAGGTAGAGTAAACAAGAGAATTTCTCTTTTAAAGTTCTTCAAATTGTTCATGTTTTAAATGTAAAGTCAAGCTGATTGATACGTTTTTGAGGTACTTGTCAATGTGAAGTAGGCAACCCATATTATACAATTTAGATATATTTGTTTAATCCAATCAAATGATGTGTTACAACTTAAACTATTTAAACATATTTTATTGTTCTCTTATTGTATTTGGTTCTCTGATTTAATAGAATTTTCTGCCGTCCTTCTTGAGGCCAAGACAGAACGACCAACCAAATGATGTCACCTACAGATCTGTACCAATGGAAGGAAGAAAATAATGCCCTGAAGAATTCTAGGCAATCTAGTATTGCAAAGCATAGAACAGACGTGTTACACTTTTACAAACATTATTGGAAATGGACAACACTAGAAAAACCACCTTGCACTTCTTTTAGCTGGCTTGAGCTGAAAGCTTTTCTGATGACCGTTGTCTGCTTGTCAGTCCTCCTGAAAACTTTTTCACATTTTCAACTCCTCATGAACCACTGGACCAAACTTGGTATGAAACATTCTTAGGTAAAGGGAGTTTAAATTGTGAAAATGAAAGGCGGTCCTTTCAAGGGAAGAAAGTAAAGAAAAGATGAAAGTAGGATGGGGTCTTCTTCTCAAGAAGCATCTCCATATGAGTGAAAAATTCTTGAGAGAGACATTAAACAACTTACAATTAATCAATCTTCTCAAGAACCATAAATTGAAACTCATGTGAAAGCTTCCTGAGGTAGTGTAGATTCTAAATTGTTCAAGTCATGACCTTGGGGTAGAGATAAGACACAATAACAAACCAAAGTTAGACACTGAATTATAGTGAGACAATTTTTCTCCTAAAAACTACTTGGCCAGAAAGACTGAAATTTGTATGGAATTTTTCTAAGGTAGTATACTAGAATCTCGATTGTTCAAATTATGATTTCTGAGAGTAGAGTTGGGCCACAATAAGTATAACATTGAAGGGGAAAAATCTGGTGAAACAGCAGGGCCAAAATTACTCAGGTGAGCAATGAGGTCTGTGAGCCTCTTGTTTTTCAGAGTGATCAGTTTTCTGTGGTGATTAAATTTGCAATCAACATATGAAATCATCCCTAGATAACACTGAATCAAAACTTGCAATACTTTTATTTAATTAGCTTTATTATTTGTAGAGATTTGTGTAATGCTGTTAATGGTTGTTTGAAAAAAATTTCATACTATAAATGTTGCATGTTATCAAGTAGTTTTTTTATGAGAATTTGGATAAAATTTAGTTATCCTTAGATCATTTTTATCACAAAATTTTCTTTTTATCACTGGTTCCCTAAAATATTTTCGTTTTATCCTACATGGTAAATTTAACATATTTTCCATAGGTTCTTAATTTTTGTATGTATGACAAAGTAAATTGCTTTCTTAAATTTTCTTAAAGATTACAATGCCTTTCTTCAGTAAAACCTTTGTAGTACAAATCTGGTAAAGTCGAACGTCTGAGTTACTCAGATGAGTAATGTGGCCCATGGGTCTTTTGTTAAATTTTGTAAGCATTCATTTTAAAATTGATTTGGAGGCATACATTAGACACTTGAAGGCCTATGATTATCAAACGTGTTCAGTTGATACATGTTGGGTTTTCAAACAACGTCAACTTAAAAGTACATTTAGGTCACCTTGACCTAATTTTTGACCTATTGCCATCCGTTTTCGTCCGTCATCGTGCGACGTGCGTCGTGTTTTAACATTTGAACATTTTCAGATTCTTCTCTGAAACTGACTGAACCAATTTCAATTAAACTTCGTATTCAGCATCTATGGGGAAAGGGGAACAAAAATTGTGAAATTTATGGTCCCCGCCCCCCTGGGGCCTGAGGGGTGGGACCAAAACCACTAAAATTATTGCAATCTTTAAAAATCTTCTTCTTTACTCCTGGACATCAAGCAGGCAAACTGTTGGCATGAATGTAATGAGCATTGAGTCCTCTACCAAAATTGTGAAATTCATGGACCCAGGGTCAGGGGTTCTAGTGCTAGGTTGGGGCTATATAGATCATATAGTGAAAATGCATTAATTATTTGAAAGTTTTCTTCTCTGCTTCTGGGTATTAAATAAACTAACTAAATACATAGTTATGTTGAGCCAGAGTGCCTCTTCCAAAATTGTGAATTTTTGGCCCCAGAGTCAGGGGTTCTGGTGTCAGGGTGGGGCTCTATTGATCATATACTTTAAATCACTTTATATTCGCGAGAACTTTATTTTTGCATAATTACGCGAGACATTGAGCTTGCAAAATGTCATTCTCACATATAAAAGTATTCCTTACGATTATATAGAGGAATAACAACTATTCGTGAAAATTATGTCTCGCTTACTAAAAGTCAATGACAATCTCGCGAAAATAAGGTATCGCTAAAATTTAGTGATCTACAGAGGTGAAAATACATTAATTCTTTGAAAATCTTCTTTTCTGCTTTAGGGTTAATTAAATAAATTTACTAAGTACATATTTATGTTGAGCATGCAAGAGTGCTTCTTCTAAAATTGTGAATTTTTTGGCCCCAGGGGTTCTGGTGTCAGGGCAGGGCTGTATTGATCATACAGTGAAAATGAATTAATTCTTTGAAAATCTTCTTCTCTGCTCCTTGGTATTAAATAAACTAACTAAGCACATAGTTTTGATAAGAGAGAGTGCCTCTTCCAATATTGTGAATCTTATGGCCTCAGGGTCAGGGGTTCTGGTGTCAGGGCGGGGCTCTATTGATCATATAGTGAAAATGCATTGATTTTTAAATATTGGTCAAAATATTGTGATTTTCAGACGAAAAATGGAATAAATTTAATCAAGACTTATTTGACATATCTTCATTTTTTTGCAAAGTTTGTTTAAGGAAGGTGAAAGCCTTATTCATAAAGTATAAATTAAGACCTATATTAATCATATACTGTAAACGTATTATATTTGGCGGTGTATTCTTTTTAGCGCCTTTGGCGGATAGAAGCTTCCGCTAATTCAAGTACAACGCTAAGTGTCTTGCACATTTACTCACAAATAAGTACATTAAAGAATGCGCTAAATCAAATCTCCGCTAACTTGTTCAAAAATCAATTTCCGCCAAATATCGTACACGCAAAATATAATACTTTTACAGTAAGCAATATCATAATGGAAAATATTCTCCAAGGAAAAGTATGTGAGGCAAGATATTAAATTTAATAAATGTGCAGATTTGCAGAATTATCTGCTAAATATCCTTCCGCCTCAAGAAATAGTCCCTCAATAAAGCAATTAATCCTTATCTTTGAAATCTGATCCTCATGATCATCTGCATTGTATTAAATTCGTCCAAATGAGCTAAGGGCAAAAAAGGCGAAGGTGAACCGGCGAAAAATTTCTTGCATAGAGTAAATAGCTCGTGGACATCTAACAAGAATTAAGCACCCAACCATGTACCAAATTTGTTGAATGCTGCTCCTAAAAATGTCAACTTGATGGACTGAGTTTGTTATGCAATGTACATAAAAGATTCTAGAATATTATACATGTATATTCGTTTTACTCTTCTAAGGCTAAATAAAGCAAATAAATATACAAATATTAATGTATTGTACAAAACTACTGTGGTTTCATGAATATTCGTTGAGCAACATTTTTCGAGGATTTCGTTGTTAAGCAGATCCACTAATTTAAATATTCTTTGTCCACGAAATTATGTTTCCTCGACAACGCTTTTTTCGAACGAAAATTGATGCCAACGATAATGAATGAAACCACATATTAGAGGATGACTATGTTCGGTCCATGACTGTAAACCAGCTTTTATTCGCAATTTAGCGATGGAAAACTACTGGTAGTTGGAGACGATTTATTTTCACGATCAAGTCTTTTTTGATCTACTGTTAATAGACATAGAGACCATTTTGCGGCGATAAATATTTACGATAGCGATGCTCTTGCAAAAACAATTTTTCCTCAAGCGAATAAAAGTTGATTTACAGATTGTTTTATGATTTATAACTTCTTTATATTTTATAGATGTGATTTTGTAAATTGTTTGAAGAAACAGTAAATCAATCAAAGAGTAAATCAATCTGAGTTTCATTGTGGAAATGATTATCTAGTTTGGATTTACGGTGGGATTGAAATTAAATACGACTACCGGTAAACGCAACATGATTATATTATAATTTAATCGTAGTTTGAAATGGTGCATCTTTACCCTACAAGCCTTATTGTGTTTTTTTCTTGCCTCTGTTGCTTTTAAGGCATCGCAGTATAAGGATTCATATGCCAATATGTGACCAGAAAAGGAATATTTTTAAGCTCACCTAACCTAAGTAATTATAATTAAAGATAAAGCTCATGCTTATTGTTTACACGACGTAAAAAAAAATCTGTCTATGGGCTTTAATATGATACAAACAGGAAGTTAATCTTAAAAAGACCGTCATAAAAACTTTAACCTTGTCAGATCTTTCGAATAAGAGGAGATGTAAGGCTTCCATATTACACATGTACATTACCTGTGACAAAAACTTTCAAAATACACCCCCATATGGCCATGACCTTGAAGTTTGGTCTACTTTAAAAAAAATTAACATTACATTGAATTTCCAATACTTTTGAATGAGAAGAGATAATTTAAGGCTTTTATATTAAAGATATGTATTAACTGTGGCAAGACCTTTTTAGCTCACCTGAGCCAAAGGCTCAAGTGAGCTTTTCTGATCAAAATTTGTCTGTTGTCTGTCGTGGTTGTTGTCGTTGTCATAAACTTTTGTTCTTCTCAAGAACCACTGGGCCAATTTCATCCAAACTTGCCACAAAGTATCCTTTGATGAAGGGAATTCAAGTTTGTTCAAATGAAGGGCCACGCCCTTTCCAAGGGGAGATAATTATGAATTAGAGAAAAATAAGTGGCATTTTTAAAAAAAATCTTCTTCTCAAGAACCACTGGGCCAGGAAAGATGAAACTCATGTGGATTCATCCTCAGGTAGTGTAGATTCAAGTTTGTTCAAATCATGACCCCCGGGGCTAGGGTGGGGCCAAAACGGCCGATCAAAGTTTTACATAGGAATATATAGGAAAAATCTTCTTCTCAAGAACCACTGGGCCAGGAAAGATGAAACATGTGGAATCATCCTCAGGTAGTGAGGATTCAAGTTTGTTGAAATGAAGGGCCACGCCCTTTTTAAGGGGAGATAATTATGAATTAGAGATAAATAAGTGGCATTTTTAAAAAAAATCTTCTTCTCAAGAACCACTGGGCCAGGAAAGATGAAACTCATGTGGATTCATCCTCAGGTAGTGTAGATTCAGGTTTGTTCAAATCATGACCCCCGGGGCTAGGGTGGGGCCAAAATGGCCGATCAAAGTTTTACATAGGAATATATGGGAAAAATCTTTAAAAATCTTCTTCTCAAGAACTACTGGGCCAGGAAAGATGAAACTCATGTGGAATCATCCTCAGGTAGTGTAAATTCAAGTTTGTTCAAATCATGACCCCCGGGGCTAGGGTGGGGCCAAAATGGCCGATCAAAGTTTAACATAGGAATAATTAGGAAAAAACTTCACAATCTTCTTCTCAAAAACCACTGGGCCAGGAAAGATGAAACTCATGTGGATATATCCTCAGGTAGTGTAGATTCAAGTTTGTTGAAATAAAGGGCCACGCCCTTTTCAAGGGGAGATAATTATGAATTAGAGATAAATAAGTGGCATTTTTAAAAAAATCTTCTTCTCAAGAACCACTGGGCCAGGAAAGATGAAACTCATGTGGAATCATCCTCAGGTAGTGTAGATTCAGGTTTGTTCAAATCATGACTCCCGGGGCTAGGGTGGGGCCAAAATGGCCGATCAAAATATTACATAGGAATATATGGGAAAAATCTTTAAAAATCTTCTTCTCAAGAACTACTGGGCCAGGAAAGATGAAACTCATGTGGAATCATCCTCAAGTAATGTAAATTCAAGTTTGTTCAAATCATGACCCCCGGGGCTAGGGTGGGGCCAAAATGGCCGATCAAAGTTTAACATAGGAATATATAAGAAAAATCTTTAAAAATCTTCTTCTCAAGAACTACTGGGCCAGGAAAGATGAAACTCATGTGGAATCATCCTCAGGTAGTGTAGATTCAAGTTTGTTCAAATCATGACCCCCGGGGCTAGGGTGGGGCCAAAATGGCCGATCAAAGTTTAACATAGGAATAATTAGGAAAAAACTTCACAATCTTCTTCTCAAAAACCACTGGGCCAGGAAAGATGAAACTCATGTGGATATATCCTCAGGTAGTGTAGATTCAAGTTTGTTGAAATAAAGGGCCACGCCCTTTTCAAGGGGAGATAATTATGAATTAGAGATAAATAAGTGGCATTTTTAAAAAAAATCTTCTTCTCAAGAACCACTGGGCCAGGAAAGATGAAACTCATGTGGAATCATCCTCAGGTAGTGTAGATTCAGGTTTGTTCAAATCATGACTCCCGGGGCTAGGGTGGGGCCAAAATGGCCGATCAAAATATTACATAGGAATATATGGGAAAAATCTTTAAAAATCTTCTTCTCAAGAACTACTGGGCCAGGAAAGATGAAACTCATGTGGAATCATCCTCAAGTAATGTAAATTCAAGTTTGTTCAAATCATGACCCCCGGGGCTAGGGTGGGGCCAAAATGGCCGATCAAAGTTTAACATAGGAATAATTAGGAAAAATCTTCAAAAATCTTCTTCTCAAGAACCACTGGGCCAGGAAAGATGAAACTCATGTGGATTCATCCTCAGGTAGTGTAGATTCAAGTTTGTTCAAATGAAGGGCCACGCCCTTTTCCAAGGGGAGATAATTATGAATTAGAGAAAAAAAGTGGCATTTTTAAAAAAAATCTTCTCAAGAACCACTGCGCCAAGAAAGATGAAACTCATGTGGAATCATCCTCAGGTAGTGTAGATTCAAATTTGTTCAAATCATGACCCCCGGGGCTAGGGTGGGGCCAAAATGGCCGATCAAAGTTTAACATAGGAATAATTAGGAAAAATCTTAAAAAATCTTCTTCTCAAGAACCACTGGGCCAGGAAAGATGAAACTCATGTGGATATATCCTCAGGTAGTGTAGATTCAAGTTTGTTCAATTCATGACCCCCGGGGATAGGGTGGGGCCAAAATGGCCGGTCAAAGTTTTACATAGGAATATATAGGAAAAATCTTTTAAAATCTTCTACTCAAGAACCACTGGGCCAGAAAAGATGAAACTCATGTGGAATCATCATCAGGTAGTGTAGATTCAAGTTTGTTCAAATCATGACCCCCGGGGCTAGGGTGGGGCCAAAACGGCCGATCAAAGTTTTACATAGGAATATATAGGAAAAATCTTCAAAAATCTTCTTCTCAAGAACCACTGGGCCAGGAAAGATGAAATTAAACTCATGTGGAATCATCCTCAGGTAGTGTAGATTCAAGTTTTTTTAAATGAAGGGCCACGCCTTTTTCCAAGGGGAGATAATTATGAATTAGAGAAAAATAAGTGGCATTTTTTAAAAAAATCTTCTTCTCAAGAACCACTGGGCCAGGAAAGATGAAACTCATGTGGAATCATCCTCAGGTAGTGTAGATTCAGGTTTGTTCAAATCATGACCCCCGGGGCTAGGGTGGGGCCAAAATGGCCGATCAAAATTTTACATAGGAATATATGGGAAAAATCTTTAAAAATGTTCTTCTCAAGAACTACTGGGCCAGGAAAGATGAAATTAAACTCATGTGGAATCATCCTCAGGTAGTGTAGATTCAAGTTTGTTTAAATGAAGGGCCACGCCTTTTTCCAAGGGGAGATAATTATGAATTAGAGAAAAATAAGTGGCATTTTTTAAAAAAATCTTCTTCTCAAGAACCACTGGGCCAGGAAAGATGAAACTCATGTGGAATCATCCTCAGGTAGTGTAGATTCAGGTTTGTTCAAATCATGACCCCCGGGGCTAGGGTGGGGCCAAAATGGCCGATCAAAATTTTACATAGGAATATATGGGAAAAATCTTTAAAAATCTTCTTCTCAAGAACTACTGGGCCAGGAAAGATGAAACTCATGTGGAATCATCCTCAGGTAATGTAAATTCAAGTTTGTTCAAATCATGACCCCCGGGGCTAGGGTGGGGCCAAAATGGCCGATCAAAGTATAACATAGGAATAATTAGGAAAAATCTTTTAAAATCTTCTTCTCAAGAACCACTGGGCCAGGAAAGATGAAACTCATGTGGAATCATCCTCAGGTAGTGTAGATTCAAGTTTGTTCAAATGAAGGGCCACGCCCTTTTCCAAGGGGAGATAATTATGAATTAGAGAAAAAAAAGTGGCATTTTTAAAAAAAATCTTCTCAAGAACCACTGGGCCAAGAAAGATGAAACTCATGTGGAATCATCCTCAGGTAGTGTAGATTCAAATTTGATCAAATCATGACCCCCGGGGCTAGGGTGGGGCCAAAATGGCCGATCAAATTTTAACATAGGAATAATTAGGAAAAATCTTAAAAAATCTTCTTCTCAAGAACCACTGGGCCAGGAAAGATGAAACTCATGTGGATATATCCTCAGGTAGTGTAGATTCAAGTTTGTTCAATTCATGACCCCCGGGGATAGGGTGGGGCCAAAATGGCCGGTCAAAGTTTTACATAGGATTATATAGGAAAAATCTTCTACTCAAGAACCACTGGGCCAGGAAAGATGAAACTCATGTGGAATCATCATCAGGTAGTGTAGATTCAAGTTTGTTCAAATCATGACCCCCGGGGCTAGGGTGGGGCCAAAACGGCCGATCAAAGTTTTACATAGGAATATATAGGAAAAATCTTCAAAAATCTTCTTCTCAAGAACCACTGGGCCAGGAAAGATGAAATTAAACTCATGTGGAATCATCCTCAGGTAGTGTAGATTCAAGTTTGTTGAAATGAAGGGCCACGCCTTTTTCCAAGGGGAGATAATTATGAATTAGAGAAAAATAAGTGGCATTTTTAAAAAAAAATCTTCTCAAGAACCACTGGGCCAGGAAAGATGAAACTCATGTGGAATCATCCTCAGGTAGTGTAGATTCAGGTTTGTTCATATCATGACCCCCGGAGCTAGGGTGGGGCCAAAATGGCCGATCAAAGTTTAACATAGGAATATATGGGAAAAATCTTCATAAATCTTCTTCTCAAGAACCACTGCGCCAGGAAAGATGAAACTCATGTGGAATCATCCTAAGGTAGTGTAGATTCAAGTTTGTTCAAATGAAGGGCCACGCCTTTTTCCAAGGGGAGATAATTATGAATTAGAGAAAAATAAGTGGCATTTTTAAAAAAAATCTTCTCAAGAACCACTGGGCCAGGAAAGATGAAACTCATGTGGAATCATCTTCAGGTAGTGTAGATTCAGATTTCTTCATATCATGACCCCCGGAGCTAGGGTGGGGCCAAAATGGCCGATCAAAGTTTTACATAGGAATATATGTGAAAAATCTTCAAAAATCTTCTTCTCAAGAACCACTGGGCCAGGAAAGATGAAACTCATGTGGAATCATCCTAAGGTAGTGTAGATTCAAGTTTGTTTAAATGAAGGGCCACGCCTTTTTCCAAGGGGAGATAATTATGAATTAGAGAAAAATAAGTGGCATTTTTAAAAAAAATCTTCTTCTCAAGAACCACTGGGCCAGGAAAGATGAAACTCATGTGGAATCATTCTCAGGTAGTGTAAATTCAAGTTTGTTCAAATCATGACTCCCGGGGCTAGGGTGGGGCCAAAATGGCCGATCAAAGTTTAACATAGGAATACATAGGAAAAATCTTAAAAAATGTTCTTCTCAAGAACCACTGGGCCAGGAAAGATGAAACTCATGTGGATTTATCCTCAGGTAGTGTAGATTCAAGTTTGTTCAATTCATGATCCCCGGGGATAGGGTGGGGCCAAAATGGCCGGTCAAAGTTTTACATAGGAATATATAGGAAAAATCTTTTAAAATCTTCTACTCAAGAACCACTGGGCCAGGAAAGATGAAACTCATGTGGAATCATCCTCAGGTAATGTAGATTCAAGTTTGTATAAATCATGACCCCTGGGGCTAGGCTGGTACCAAAATGGCCAAAGTATTAGATTTGAAAATAAAGGAAAAATCTTCTCAAGAACCATTGTGCTAGGAAAGATGAAACTCATGTGGAATCATCCTCAGGTAGTGTAGATTCAAGTTTGTTCAAATCATGACCCCCGGGGCTATGATGGGGCCAAAATGGCCGATAAAATTTTACACAGGAATACATAGGAAAAATCTTTAAAAATCTTCTCAAGAACCATTGAGACAGGAAAGATTAATTTCATGTGTAATTAACCTCAGGTAGTGTAGATTCAAGTTTGTTCAAATCATGACCCCCGGGGGTAGGGTGGGGCCAAAACTTCCGATCAAAGTTTAACATAGGTATGTATAGCGTATAGGAATTTTTAAAATCCTCTTTTCAAGTACTTCAAATCCATGCTTAGTGATATTTATATGGAATCATTCTCAAGTAGTGTAGATTCTAGTTTGACCCCTTTGGAGGTTAAAAGTCAAGCCCCCCCCCCCCCCCCCACGCCCCCCCCCCAACTCAGTAAACTTTCAGTTCTGATATGTGCTTTTTCCTAGCAAATTGCTCAGGTGAGCGATGTGGCCCCTGGGCCTCTTGTTAAATACACAATGATGTTTGACCTTGTAACCTTGACCTTGAAGTCTGACCTACTTTAGAAAAAATTAAATTGGCCATAATTTTTTAATTAAAACTTTAAGACACGGGGCTTTCATATTAAACATATGCATTATCTAAAGGACCTTTTTTAATACATGAAATTTCACTTTTGACCTGTAACTTTGATCTTGAAGTTTGACCTACTTAAAAAAAACTTTAACTATGCTCATTATTTATGAATGAGAAGAGATAGGGCATATCAAATCTGTGTATTGCTTATGACAAGACCTTTCTAATGTATGCATGTATATGATTTTTATGCGCCCGGATCGATAGATCCGGGGCGTATAATGTTTTTGTCCTGTCTGTTTGTCTGTCTGTTGTCAACTTTAACCTTCGCCAAAACCTTTGAACCATAAGAGATAGAGACTTCATATTTGGTATGCATACTCCACTTATAAAGTTCTTTCAAATGACATCAAGGTCAATGACCTTCTGACCTTGACTGTGACCTTTATGCTAAAAATAATTTTTCAATTGCTTGTCATAACTTTTGAACCATAGGAGATAGGGACTTCATATTTAGTATGCATACTCAACTAATAACGTTCCTTTAAATGACATCAAGGTCAGTGACCTTGTGACCTTGACTCTGACTTATATGCTAAAAATAGCTTTTTCCACTTTTTACCATAGATTTTGAACCATAGGAGTTACGGACTTCATATTTAGTATGCATCCTCCACTAATACAGTTCTTTCAAACAACACCAAGGTCAATATGCTAAAAATAGCTTTTTCCACTTTTTGCCATAGATTTTGAACCATAGGAGTTACGGACTTCATATTTAGTATGCATCCTCCACTAATACAGTTCTTTCAAACAACACCAAGGTCAATGACCATGTGACCTTGACTGTGACCTATATGCTAAAAAAAGCTTTTCCAACTCTTTGTCATAACTTTTGAACCATAGGAGATAAGGACTTCATATTTAGTATGCATACTCCACTAATTAAGTTCTTACAAACAACACCAAGGTCAATGACCTTGTGACCTTGACTGTGACCTATATACTAAAAATAGCTTTTTCGAACTTTGTTGACGCCGGGCGCATAGTGTTTCACAAACACATCTTGTTTATGTTTAGCATGTGACCTTGTACATGTATTTGAAGTTTGGCTTAATTCAAATATGCTTATTTTTCCTTATGACTTTAGATTTGGTTAATTCTAGAGTTGCGAAGTGAGAAGTAATCCTTACGTCGCTGGTTCCAATCCCACCGTAGGATGTAGAGACATGTTCTTTGGATCACACAGTATTAACCGAGGTGCCGTGTCTCATTAGGTGATGGCAAGAAAAAGACCCCTCCCTGCTCAATGGCTTTAAGTGCCAAGTATGGGACAAACTTTGTAGCTCTCCATCGGAAAGTGGTGGAGTCTCCAGATGAGTGAAAAATTCTCGAGAGGGACGTTAAACAATATACATGTACAATCAGTCAATCAACAAATATATAACTTTAGATTGAGAAGAGATAGGGCTTTTACATTTGACATGTGCATTTTTTTCTCCCTCATAAACCCCTCCTTAATAAATCTTTTCTTGACCAACTTGAAAAACAACAACAAATAGTTTAGGTTAGGTGCGTGGGTGTTTTATTTTTTATTTATTCTATATAAAAAGAAAATGACAAATTCAACGAATATTAACAAAAAGTGGCGTTTGAAAATTATAAGTACATGTACATGTATATTTATGCATTAGCACAGATGCAGAAAATAAAATGAAACATCTATGTTCATTAAGTTGATTGATGAAAGAATTGTGCAGATGTTCAATATGAGTATCAGTAAACGTTATACCGGGTATTAGAATTCTAAGCACATAATAGTTTCTACTAGATGTATTTTGTGAATTATTAGTTATTATCAGTTAATATAATGTTGCTTGTTTTGGAATTTATACATATAAACAAGTATTTTTTATTGTTATAAGTATATTGCTAAAATAGGAATTCAAAACAAAATGTTACCTGAGCAAATATGCTGTAGTGCTGACAAATAAAAAAAATGAACAAGCAACCCGATAAAGGTTTCCTTCGAAATCATTCAAGATTCTTTGCAAAAATATATACAGTTATCAATATAAGACAACAAAACAAATAGTAAATATAAATCGATTGAAAAGTAAAGAATCTTTTCGATACTGCCACTTAGCTCCTGATTAGTGTTTCAGGAAATTCTTGTTATCTAGCTTCAGGTTCAAGGCAAATCTCCTCTCTGCATACTAGTATATTCTCTTCTAGAAGATTTCACTGCTGAATGGAACATTTATAGTACATGTTTTCTTTGAGCGTAAGTCCTTAATTTTGAAGCGTGAGACAAGTCCTTAATTTTTTTTAATGGCCTGTTCTCGTTTTTCAGACGCGCAAGATACATTACTGGTAAAATAGGAAATGACCACTTGATGGCCATCACTCTGCAACTCATCAATACATTTTACAGACCATAACACTAATCAAATGTATGTAACAAAACATTGCACACACTTCAAGATAATTTATATATTTTTTTCAAATCTATAAAAAAAAAAACCTTTTCTTAATCATTGGTATGCTTTTGTTCCTCAATTATTATTACATGTACATGTTGTATGTGTTTGACTTTTTGCACAATTTTAATTGGCTTGCTTTCTCTAAAACGTGGTAAACAAGCTTGATTTCTGTAAATGAAAGAGATATATTTATAATGCAGTGCAAAGTCATATTACACATATTACATTACAGTGGGAACACAAATCAAAACACTGAAAGTAATTTTAAAAAGATCGGCTGACTCCAAAAAATAAATAAATCCTCTTTACATACACCAAGGGGGTAGGAAAAAGGTTAGCGAAAAGTTCCCTATACATGTATATTAATTATAGTAAATAAAACTATCGTCTTTTCATCAAATGGAGAAGTTAGATGATAATATCACCTTCTGTACTAGGTCTTTTTAACTGAAATTAGGTTAAGTGTGTATCTCCAAAAGGGTTATTCCCATATTCTATTAGTTTGTAAAGTCTCCGTTGCAAACTGTTCTTTGCTGACAGATATAATTATTTTCTTGTCAATCCTTTGTGGTGATACATTAATTTACAGTATGAATTTTGTTTCCCTTTTTACAACTGCATTTAGAACTGAAAACTCGATATTTTTAAGGTATGACGTTCAAACCAAATTTAAAAGGTTTCTCTGTTTATGTAGGATTCATAAATCTTTCCACTTTCATTTATGGAATTACCCATGTTTCTTTTTGGCTCTGTTGTATCCAGTCTTGTTAACCCTCTATCATTTTGGTCAGTCTTCATAACAACTGTAAAGTTCTTGTCTTCAGTGTCCATGTTGATGGTCACATTGGCCGTTCCATTGAACACAGCTTCATTATGCAAAGGTTGGTAGTTTTGGTACCCAAGTTTTTGTCCCTCCGCAATGTTGCTCGGCCATGTAACCTTGGAATTTTCTCCTGGCGCCATCACAGCTTTTGGTTTTTCGCAGCTCCTTTTGGTAATGTACAGCAATACTACGGCAAACGTTGCAATGGAAAATGCTACAGACAGTATTTGCCATGGGATGTCTTGCGTTTTTTCTCCTGAAATCTTGGAATTTGACTTTGGGAGCGAATCTATTGATTCATTCTCAATTCTCTGATTCAGTTTTTGCATCACTGGTACCCGAAAAGATTTCGACGTAGGGATTTCTATGTAAATTTATCATTTGTAACCATTAGATATACATGTATCTATAAATAACAGGATTATATTCTTTTTAGTTACAAAAAACCCCATATATTTATTAACTGTTATTTATCAGATACTATAAAAAGGAGTTTTTGTGAATAGATGAATTCTATTATCAAGTTGAAGTGTTATAAATTTATCACGGTATATACATTAAATTCATAATATGTAGATTATTTACTAGTAAATGTACGGTACATGTACCTGTTGTTGATACAGGACAACCAAAAGATACATTGCATTTGTCCTGTTCACATTGTGTACACAGGTTGGAGCATCCCTCCCCGTAACGACCAGGACTACAATGTCTGGTACAGTTATCACCGAAATATCCAGGGAGGCATCCTAAAACATATATACATGTGTATCTTGTAAGAATTAATCAAGAACATCTAAATAAGCTTAAGAGTAAGGATCCACTGACATTATACTATGGTATCAACTCAATACTAATATGTATTCTGATATCAAAATTGAAGATTCGAATTCGGGTACATGAGATCGAGAAAATAAATTAAAATGAGAAAAACGAATGTGCAAATTTAAAGTAATCTATAGGTATTTTTTTTCTTTCAGAAACTCGAAAAGGCATTTGTAACCTAGTAAATTTTATGAATTAAAATTTTCAATGCAACATAATATATAATTTTATGAAAAGAATTGGTATTTAAGATAAAAATTATTTATTTTGGACATATTGTTTTGTAGTAAACAGTTTTGTATTTACTGCCACCCGGTCAATTCAAAATCTGAAACATGACAATATGCTTAAAGAACATGTATATATATCTAGCATTTTTAGAAGGTAAAAAGGGAACTTTGACTTTGTTTGGTGTTTTTATAGCTATTTAAGGAATAAGATTCAGTCTTCTTTACCTCGAAGAGTGTTCGGATCGACTCGCATGTGAGATACATGTAGTTGCATTTATGTGTTAAATGAAAAGTGATGGCCGTACGTTATGGGAGTGAGTCTGTTTTATAACCGCTATATGGATTATCTCGTATACATGAATGCTAAAGATTCGCTGGATTTCCGTCATCAAGAACATACAAAGTTTTACTCTGGATAATTCAGAATTATTGTCCCCCGCTTTCGCGAAAGCGAGGGGACATTAAATCTCATTCGTCTGTCTGTCTGTCCGTCAGTCTGTCCGTCACAAAAACTTTAACCTTGCACATAACTTTTGATTTAGTGGAGCTATGACTTTCATATTTCACATGTGTATTCCTTGTGAGAAGTCCTTTCTTTGGGTACCACCAAATTTGACCTTTTGACCTTGACCTTGGAGTTTGACCCACTTTTCACAAAAATTCCAAACTTTTACTTTGGCCGTAACTTTTGAATAGTAGGTACTAGGACTTTTATATTTCACATATGTATTGTTTGTGGCAAAACCTTTCATTGGATAACAACAACCTTGACCTTTTGACCTTGATTTTGGAGATTTACGTACTTAAAAAACTTTAACCTTGACCATAACTTTTGAACGGTGAGGACGAAGGCTTTCGTACTTCACATATGTATTCCTTGTGAGAAGACCTTTCATTGGATACCAATACTTTTGCCCTTTGACCTTGACCTTGGAGTTTTAATTACATTTTAAAAACTTCAACCTTGGTTACAACTTTGAAACAGTAGATACTAGTAGGAATTTTATATTTCACATATGTATTCCTTGTGGCAAGACATTTCATTGGATACCAATAACCTTGACCTTTTGACCTTGACCTTGGAGATTTATGTACTTATGAAAAAACTTTAACCTTGACCATAACTTTTGAACGGTGAGGACTAGGGCTTTTGTACTTCACATATGTGATCCTTTTGAGAAGACCTTTCATTGGATACCAATAGCTTTTACCCTTTGACCTTGACCTTGGAGTTTAAACTACTTTTTAAACATACTTTAACTTTGGTCAAAACTTTTGAACGGTAAATACTAGGACTTTTATATTTTGCATATGAATTCTTTGTGGCAAGTCCTTTCATTGGATATCAACAACTTTGACCTTTCCACCCTGACCTTAAAGATTTATGTACTTATGAAAAAACTTTAACCTTGACCATAAATTTTGAACAGTAAGGGCTAGGGCTTTCATACTTCACATATGTAATCCTTGTGAGAAAACGTTTCATTGGATATCAACAACTTTGACCCTTTGATCTTGACCTTGGAGTTGACCTACTTTTAAAAAAACTTTTTACTTTGGCCATAACTTTTTAACGGTCAGGATTAGGGTTTTCATTCTTCAAAAAAAATCAACTTCAGTGTTACTTTCTAAATAAATGACATTTGATAGGATGTTCGTATTACACACAATATGTCATAAAAATAACATCTCACCCACAAAGACACCGAAAGCAGGGGACCACAATTCTTTGAATTTGCTTGTTTAAACGTTTAGATGTGTGTGTCCGCGTGTTAGCATTTTTGTAACTTTACTTGATTTATTTTCGGATATACAAACTTTAAAAAACATCTATATTTCGTATAAAATGTTAAGTTCCATCACATGTTCTCTTGTATTACTTTAAAGTCGTTTACTTAATTTAATTTTCAAACAAAAATTAGGGAGCGACTGTGAAAAAGTGCGACCAACAAAAAAAAAACAATGAAGCAACATGAGTTACACTGAAATGGAGATTTTAAAGATATAAGAGAGAGTAAGATAGTTCCCGCTTGTGTAAAACACGCGTATTGCAACGAATTTGTTCATAATTATGAATTAAGCATGTCTGTGAGATTTACCATGAATTTGTCAGAATCAGAATCAGAATCAGTTTATTCTCTCAAACCATACAACATGGTACATGAGGAACATAATGTATATACAATGTCTATAAAGTCGTCAGAGGTACATTTAGTATAAACATACACACACACACACACACACACACACACACACACACACACACACACACACACACACACACACACACACACACACACACACATATATATATATATATATATATATATATATATATATATATATATATATATATATATATATATATATATATATATATATATATATATACATAAATAAATGTTTTACAACTGCATGTAGAGAGGATGTACATATAGTACATGTAATAATAAAGTATATGCAAAAAGAAAACACCAGGAGGACAGCTAAGAAGGACAGACAGTCTCAAATATTTTTGAAATAAATGTACGAAAAAGTTATTGGGTTATGTACATCTGAAAAAGGTTACAAAAATTAATAATTTCAAAATTTTCCACAATTTCAAAAATATTTGCACTGGCTACAACATAACAGTGCTGCTATTCTTACATGTGACACTACCTGTATTTTTATCTCTGCCAACCCGGCTATTCACAATATACAAGTCATTATTTTTACAAAAGTCAACAAATTTATGTCCATAATTATTTACAGTACAATCTTGTACAACTCTTTCTAAAGGAATCTGGTGGTCATTTAATATCGAACACGTGCTTACTTGCTGTTTATATAGACCGTCAATTTGATTGGCTATAGTATATTAATTGATACCTGTTCTGCATGTATTCTAATGAAACGTTTGTCCGAGTTTTTCAATTCTTAAAAAATGGGTGTGTCATATTATATGGCAATCAACTTCTAAACATAGCTGAAAACGTTCCATCCAAAAGGAAAATTTTATCACTTCAATGCGCTTCATTGTATCATAATGCATACTTTTGCAAAAGTACGAATTTAAACATGAAGACCAAAGACTAACTGGAAAACGGGAAGCTGCAAGTTGATACGGAAATTATTGTATAATTTAGTAATATGATTTTGTAAATCCGATTTCAAAATCGTGATAAATTAGGTTCAATTCTTGAAATAATTTTATAATACTTTTCATCATATCAGTTTTCCGGTAAAAATAAAATATTTTAGCTACATTTTCAAGTGTGCAATTTTCCATCCAGTTCCTTTCCTTTTTTACGCATAAAAAATGCACGCACTACACAATGTAAAAAGGTTAGAGAATGAATAATTTATTTAATTAAATTGTGCCGATTGATTAAAACACAAATTCAATGGACTGAAATTTAACAAAAGTAAAATTAAATGTTTTTGTCTCAATCTATTTGCAGGGGAGAAATGTAAATTATAAAACGATTAATTCATCTCAATCAATGTAAGCATGCCATGCTAAAGTCGATAGATTTAAATCTGTTCCTCATCTGCATTTGTTTCATCCCCTAGCTATTGATTTTCATCAAATTAAAAATATCATAAAAGCATAGTTCTCGAGATTCTAAATATAGATATTTAATTTTTTTCTTGAACAGATTTTTATCTCATTAATAAATTAAGCGTGAGAGATATTATATATTTCACAACTTTGTATTTAAACCGAAATAATATTTTTGATTTCTTAATATCCTCTAATTAAAACTCGTGACATTTTAATTCCCTTTTCGCTTCCCTTTCATTTGATGATCAGCTTCGTGTCGTCATGAGTTTCATCAGGGCTTTCAAATTTTGTTATTTTTTGTAGTAAAAAGTTTATTTTAGGTTTGATTTTATATAACTTTACATAATCATGATCTTTAAATATCATGATTAAATAATGTTACAAATATTTGTTCAATCATGTATTAGTATATGTATATATATTGTATAGGTACACGTTAGAAGTAACCAAGAGAGAAATTCAAATTAGATAGCATGCAAGAACAAATCTTCCTGATTCTTCTTTCTTTTTTGTTAAATGTTTTCTGTAAATGCAAGCATCAACTTAAAATACTTGTGTCACAGTTCCTCAATGTTTCGTTCCACATATACCCGTTACAACATTCGTAATTCCCACTTTTCCTGTACAAGAGAAATAAATATGACAAATACAATGTACCAATGCCTGAAATGTAACACTGTTTATTTGTTTAATTAAACACATAGGATACTCAAGATCAACCGCACAAAAAAAAAAAAAAAAAAAAAAAACCTTTCTAATTTTATATGACAAAATCAATGTCCAAATGACTGAATTGATTTTTACATTATATTGTACATGTTGTTTTTTGAATGCTACGCATGCCATTTGTCTCTAACACTATGTGTAAAATTATGTTATGACATTTCGGAACCCCCAAACCCCCTCCCCCCAACTCCCCCAAAACTAAAAAAAGAGTTACTTTGCTAACATATCATTCATTTTTCTAAAAAAAAACTATTTTTTTGCATTTTGCAAGCTTTAAATTACAATGTTAGCAATGAATTAGCAATGGAGAAATCCAACTGTTTTCTGATATTAATCAGCATTTTAAACTTATTACTTACCCTAAACATTGAAGTGAGTGCGTCCTTGCTACAATTGAAAAACAGATTATGGCACAAATTCTTAACAGTCGATTGTTTTTGAGGACACACATCACTGACGTTTTTTGAATAATAAAAGTATTTAGAATTTTGAAATATGCATGTATATTGCTTGAATTCTTTTTTATTAATGAAATAACTATTCCAAAAAATCATCTTAAAATTTCCTTGTTTTGATGATTAATGACGTATTTCCCGTTTTCCTTAAATTTAGAATGATTAACATATGTTTGTATGCACAACAACTTTGCGGACTTCCCTGCTTAATTGTTGCTGTCGCAGAACAGGTGTATCGATCGACTTTCTGCTTTTACACTGCGTGACATATGCAGACATCTCGGCCAGTGTCTCTAATTGGGATAAATTCGTTATAGTCTAATGGAGTTCGCGCGTTCATCATGGTCATAGAATTTAAAAATACGCAAAGTAGCCTTAGCTTTCAAGACTTTATTTTCTCCCTCGTTTCACTCCTCCGCAAATAAATATTTTCTTGACTAATTTATTGAAAAACAAAGAAAAAGAATATACTGTAGGATTGTTGCGTTCGTTACAAATCGCATTTTTATTCAAAACATACAAGTCAAACTCATAAATTTTACAAGATAAACAATGCAAGGGCTGGGAGGGCAGGGAAAGCCAAAGACACAAAACAACCTGCGATTCATTGTAACGAACGTCGCATTAATCGAACATTCCCCGGTAAAAGTATTTATAATGAGCGCTAAATCGCTCGTGCATGAAAAACCAGTTTCTTTAGATACGAAGTTTCACGGAGAATACCGAAGTAAAACCGTAAAGAAATAAATTTATTTTCTCCCTCGTTTCACTCCTCCGCAAATAAATATTTTCTTGACTAATTTATTGAAAAACAAAGAAAAAGAATATACTGTAGGATTGTTGCGTTCGTTACAAATCGCATTAAACAAAGGACAGTAGTTGCAATATGATAATTTTATAATCCAAGGTTCATTGAAACCAGAATTTTATGTTCAAGATTGTCTTTTATATAACCTTCTTTGGCTTTATCCGTGACCCACCGACCACATTTTAAGCAATCGATCAGACACATTATTAACAGCGGCTGTAACTCCGCCGCTACGTAAACTGTGTAAAGCATATTTAGAACTGTCAAAGCCAATTTCATTTAAAGAAGACACTAATATTTCCCTAGCTCTTGTATATGACAGAGGTTTGGATTTATTTGAAGCTTTTTATTTATTGAGGGATTTTACAAAATTTACAGCTGTAAACATGTAATCATTGAAAGACTTATTCATCTCTAACATGTCGATGTATTTGTTTAACCAAAACACAGGGCACAAATCGTTTCCAGTTTTTGCGATTATCACCGAATTTCCTCAATGTGAGCACTTTCCCATTTAATATCACATAATCGAATATTTGATAATTCACTGAATCTAAAGAAACCAGAAAATCCCAATAAACACATCACAAAGGATCTTAATTTCGGCACATTAGAAGGATCAAGAAAAATCCATCAATTTACGTAATATATCTGCAGTGATAGGTTCTTTATTGCTGATAGGTTTTGATAACATGCGCCTTCCACCTTCAAGCACTAGTTTCAGGGACTTATCTTCGCATGGATTCAAATTTGAAGAAAATTCATGAGAGTCCAACTTATACTGTAGAAATACGCTTCCAGAACCGACGTTGATACCCTCTGTTGCAACCTCCCATAAAACGAGCAACAGAAGACACTGATGCAGGAAGATGCGTAATTGAATGCTTCGAACACCTGTCTCTGAATTTAGAGAAATATATGTCGTACATCTTGTTCGTTGACTGTGATTTTGCATTTTTCACGATACGTGGCAAAGACTCCACCATATAGCTAAAATGAAGATCGACTTTAAACTTGACAATATTTATCCATTGGCCTTGATAATTCTTCAAAGTCTGAAATATATAACAATAAACCACATTAAAATTCAAACCAAATTTGCACAGCAACCAATAATAGCCACGGTATTATATCACACATATTTACAATTAACTTTATCATCAACATCAAAATAGGAGAGCAGTCCTCCATGATTAAAAATCAGTCATCAAAATATACGATTTTCAGAACCAGTATTTTAGATTATAATCTTATGTTAGCAATGCAATCATTCAAATCTAGGAGAGCAGTCCTCCTTATTGGATAGCAGTCATCCAATCATTTAATTTCAGTAGGCATGCATATTGTACACTGGTTAGCAGTCAACCTTTGTGTACTAATCTGTCCATATTTCACAATTAAAGCATGCAAATGAACAAATAAATATAGTGTTACAGTGACTTAATTACGAAGCATCCAATCCCAGTGCTATAACATTACTGATTAATTTGTGAGCTGCAAATACTCTATTTTTATCAGAATCCGAAATGTTTTTTTTTTTTTTTTAATACTTTTTAATATCTTTCTCCTTATTGGATAGCAGTCATCCAATCATTTAATTTCAGTATGCATGTACATTGTACACTGGTTAGCAGTCAACCTTTGTGTACTAATCTGTCCATATTTCACAATCAAAGCGTGCATATGAACATATGAATATAGTGTTACAATGACTTAATTACGAAGCATCCAATTGCGGTGTTATAACATTGTGAGCTGCAAATACGTTAATTTTATCAGAACCTGAAATGAATTTTTTTTTTTTTTTTTTTTTTTTGCTCATATCTTTCACAAACCACAAGAACTTTCAATTTTGGTCGATCAAAGAAGACCAAAAAGCTGCTGAATTCCATTTCGGAACAATTAAAGCACCATCACTACTAAGTCAGAAACGTACTGACATTCCCATTTTTTACTGACAAACTTAGAAAATTACTGACAATGTGCTGTCGTTACTGTAAAACTTAGACAATTATTGACCTTTTTACTGCCGGTACTGATAAACTTAGAAAAGTGCTGACAATCTTAGTCGGTGCTGATAAACTTAGACAATTACTGACCCGTTTACTGTCCCTGCTGAAAAACTTAGACAAGTGCTGACATTTACTGATAATTACTGTCCCTATTGTTCTCGCTCTCGGGGAGGCTGCAGTGGTGTGAAAATGACTGTGTGTTATACTTTGCATTTAAAAACAGTCTTATTTTAATTTTTGATGAAAAAAAAAATCCCAGGCAGTTATCATTTTTATAATCTAAATATTATTGATATCTGTAAAATAATTCAGAATATGATTTGAAATTAACTATGAGTAAATCAAGTTTAAATTTATGTGTTGAATGTATATATCCCTGTTTAATTAAAGAATTAAAATTAATTAATCATCAAGTTAGTTTTCATCTATTTATTTCTTTGCAGACAGATATCTGACTTTAATGTTGAGTCCCCCCCCTTGTTTTCACGATCGGAAAGTTGTATCAATTTTTTTTCACAAACAGGACAGATTTCTCTTGTTAAGGGGGGACCTATGTCGTTCGACGTCAAAGCAGCGTTATGTGACGTCACAATAGCGACGTTTGTTTTTTTCCCGCTGACTTTTGCAACTGTGATTATAGGCATAACATTGTTATTAATCAAAAACGTACACAGTTTACAAAAAGAAACTTTTTTCATCATTTAAAACAGTTTTATTTGATTTATGGAGTTTGTTAATATCAGAATTCTCTTCCTTTAGTTGATAATTCATAGCAATTTCAGTTGTGAAGAAATACCTCTATGATATATACTGATATAAAAATGCAAAAAAAATATAAGATAAAATTCAGCGCAGACAGCGGCTTAAACTAGGGAAATATGTATAATTTTATGATTACCATTAATTGTATTTTCTGGATAAAACTAAGAAAAAATCAAGAAATGTACTTGTACCTATATTTACTTATTGATTAATAGTGTATGTAGATTTAATTGTGTAAAGTCATTCCTAGGTTCTATTAGGTGTTGGTTGTTGACAGGGAAAGGGGGGGGGGCAGAATGATTAGAATGAAGAAGAAAAGAGTTTATCTGTTTAAATTATTTCTTATCAAAACAAGATACTCGTTTTTTGCAAAATAGTTTTATATTCAGATGTTTGTCAGTGCTAACTTACGTTTTTTTAGTGCACAAAGGTCAATATTTATGACAGAAGAGTACGAAAATAAAAGAAAACGTCATATTTCTCGTTTATTTTATCATAAAGGTATACTTTTGTCCTTGTTGAAATAAAGAGAGGAGTCATTTCTTTCAAAAAATATGAATTACAACATTTTCACACAAAGACTTTTTAAGACATTACCTGTTATGCATGTCGGAATTGTAAAAAATACAACAAGAAAAACGGGGTGAAACTTACATTGTGCTTTTTTATAATTTTTCATGCGAGATGAATTACAATATACTTGCCTTCATTTAAAAGATACAAGTCATATAAATTAAATACATGTTGATTTCGAATGTGATTTTACATTTTTGGTTCTTTTTAGCGCATATTTGGAGTAGAACAATAATGTCTGAATATAATCTATTTTTAGCATTTCACATTGTTTTTGCACGTGCTCCTGTGTAAAAATAAGCATATAAAGGTATTGTTTTTAATACCTAAAAATTAAGATCAAGTGGTCGGGAAAGAAATGTCAAAGTTTTGAAAATTTCACACAAAGACTTTTCGGACATTGGTCCCCCCTTAAAAAGGATATCTTCTAAATATTGAATAATTACTGATAGGTAATTCAGTTTCCTAAGGTTCTCGGACATCTGTACAAGTCATATAATTATATACCCCTGTTTAAGATTTCCAGTTTCATTTGCTCATACGGGAGTTCCCCTATTGAACAGTACAGTGTTCCATATATAAACTTGTACTATGCCTTGTTAATTTTGTCACTTAAAACATTATTTCTAAATGAATGGTTGGCTGATCGATTACGCAGGGTTCATAAGTACCCAATGTCTGTAAGTCCGAGACTAATAAATGATTATCAGACTAGTAATAAAAATTCATGTACTAGCAATTATAGAAATCTTACGGAAAATATTTATATTTACTAGGTCAGCAGTAAGACTATTATTAGCAGTAACACTATTCTCAAATATTTTTCTTCTCTCTCTCCCTCCCTCTCTCTCTCTTTCTTAAAGATACAAACAGTATTGACACTTCAACATGTTTAAGTTACTTAAATACTTGAGAAGTACTG